AGGCTCAAAGGTTGAAGCATGCGCAGCTGTGTTGTTAAAGTCCTGATCGCCAGGTCGGTGACGGCCCCATAGAGCCTGACACATCTCAACAGCCCGATAGAATGCAGCCAGGCGGGAGAACTGCGGGGAGTCTTGATCTGCAGTAGCCCCGACGAGGTCACGAGATGCCAGGTAGGACTCGAGTACTTTAAGACCCGGGGTCGGTAAAAGCTTAGGGCAGAAAGGGGTTTCTCCGTCCACCTCCTCATCGAAAGACTGTTGTGAAGTTTGCAGGGCGGAAGCAAGAAGGACCTTAAAAAACACGACAGAAATTCGAGTCAGCGTATAGTAGTCCCTTATATCCCTTTGTCCCGACCTTTTGTGGTTACGCCATGCGGTGTAAGGTGAAGTACAAGCTGTTAGTTCTGTTGTAGAGACCTCGAACATTGACGGCCGAAAAGGTAAATATAAGGGGATGTGTAACCAGGGGTTTCAAAATGAAGTTCGGCCTGATTGCGCTTAATGGAGTTGGAAAAAATACCAAACGACCCGGACTCGTAAATTGTAGAGAATAGTGTGCGAAAGTGTGAAGCACAATGGTCCACTCGAACAGAATACTGGTGTAACTGTCATTTCACAGCGGTAACAGCAACAAATGACCGACGGCCTCTTCCCTTCTCTTTATAGTGACCGGCCACAAGTTCGAGTATAACCTTTAACTATCGTAACTGTCATACGATCCCAAATCAAAATGGCAGTGAACAGACACATGAAGCCAAAAAGTACAGGTGAGAGTGTCACTATATACGAGCAGAAGAGAATATCTTATTCGACTGACTCAATTGTGAAAAGATGTCCCGCCTCGGTAGGAGTCGAACCCATAAAGGAGGGAAGGCTTTTGTTCAGCCAATGTTCTACCATTGAGCTACGAGGTTTATCGTGCGCTGTGAATTTAATCACACTTGGGTCGATTTGTTTGCCCAACTTTACTGCACTTATGGAATCCAAGAGTACGTACGCAGTACTCTGACTGCCAGGCAGGATTTCCTTAGGTTTTAAGAAAGAAAAAAATAAGAAAGAGGCTTTATCACGTAATTTCTTAAATTCTCAGTGCCCTATATTCGACCCTAAACAACATTTAAGTAGTTCCCGTCACTATTTAACGATAAATTCAAATTGTCAGATGCAAAGTAAATAATGACATGTCACGAAATGTAATGGAACCAAGACCATCTAAAAGTGTGAAGTAACGTTTGTGGATATTTTCAATTAGTTTATCTGGACGTTGAAGACTGCAATCGATGCAAGCACATGACACCGGGGGGGGAGCATAGAAGGCGCTTTGACTGTTAGAGATAGAAAGGGTCTTATAGTTAGTATAAGGAAAAAGGGAAGAACATAGGGGAAGTTTTTATAAGAATAAAACAGTCAGCAGGATACCTCTTCTTCGGGCCCCATTGGGGACTTAAGGCTTGTTATGACCATGACCGAACCAATCTGGGAAGTCACGGCTGGAATTGGCATGCTAGGGTCTACATCAAAAGCTCTTAAGTCTATTTCTTGACGAGAGACTACAAGTTGATAGTGTTCGTTGGGTACGCGCGAACACGACCAGGATACCCGGCAGGATCCGCCAGTAGGGAGGCCAGCATCAAAGAACGGTCCACAAAGTTCCAATCGTGCACCACAAGTATCTGTAACGGAAATTTAAACAAAGGAAAGAGTTAAAATGAAATTATTAAATAGTTTTGAAAAAAAACAGAGAAGTTTGCAGTTGATCTACGGTAGATTGTATATCTGATGAAATGTGAGGATCAGAATTTGAGTGGGTGATTTAATATGCATTTGAGGTTGTTAATTTTGTTCGTTGGGTTGGCTTGAGGTACAAAATGCTGTTTACAAGAACAGAGTTCAGTTCAGATCAGTATATTGTGGACAAAAAAGGTCGGAATGGGGCCAAATCCAACGTTTGTTGATATCCAAGGAATCTCCTATGTTATTAAACGCTGCGGAAAAAGTGCTTGTTTATGCGTTTTGTACTATAAAAGAACATCAATAAAAAGCAGAAACTATTGAATCATATATGTGCAGAGAAGAGACAATTTTGTTTTGCGTTCATAAAAAAAAGTAAATGCACTTATGAGGTAACGCATTATTGTCAGGAAAAGAAGAGTGAAGTAAGTTTAAAAAATTATATTTTGAAAATCTGCTAAGTTTTGTGACAAAATGAATTAATAAACTGAATTGCCGAATTAATAAACTTAATAAACTTTTCTTAACCCCATCGAAAATAACGACAGTAGACAAGAATATACACAAACACCCAAGACATGCCGTCAATTTCCTCTGTCAAGCCGTATGCAAAAGAAGTCCAAACACTTTTTTATCTATAGAGCAGAATTAGTTAATATAAAAACTTGAAACGGAACAGACAAAAGATTATTATTTTTCTCAAAATCGTCGCTCATATTCTGCCACTGCTCTGCTTTCGTTATCTTAGAACGGAGCCTAGAAGTAAACAAATATATTGAAACTGTTCCGGTATACATGGAAAAGCTAGTTCTTTCATTTTCAGCAAAAGATGTATCCCTTATTTTTAGGGTAGTCAATAAACTTGCCAAAATTTCCCATTCTGCTCTTGAATTAATCTTTAAAAATATAAAGTACGCAGACATTCGACGTCAAAATATCCAAGTAAAGCGCTTTTTTCAAAAGGTAACTCGTTAGAGAAATTTTTAAATCAATCTTAGGCATATGTATTCGCCACTTTTGTTGTGGACATTCATTTTTCTCGCCAATGAGTTGACATGTTCAGGTGATTCTGAAACCATGACCCAAACAGACAGCTGCCTAAGAAAGAATGTTCAGAAGCTCGTTATTTAGATATATGCTTTCAAGAGATATCTTATTTTGAAGGTTTTTGTAAGCATGTGGAACATAATAATTATTCATGGTCAATCGACTGAAGCCCGTGAAAATCGTAAAGTGTTGATTACCATTTCAAAGAAGATCTGAACCTCTTCGTAATTGAAATCCCAAAATAATTACAAAGAAATGTGGCGGAAGGAAGTTTTTCTTAGTGGACAAAAATGATACCTTTACAATTGTACCTGACAGTTCCATTCAAATTTATTAGCCACTGACCGGCATGTCCGCACGTGAGCTTACGAAATATCTTACTCCTTTGACCTCTCAGTGGGCAAAGTCAAGCGAAAAATGTGGTTGGGTTAGTCCAACGTAACTCAGGCAATGTATAAACGGAAGAAACAACTAGCAATTCTCGTGAAAACGTGTTGGA